TTATAAATATTAATGATATCATAATATTGAAAAATATAAGTAAGTTGCTCTTTGCTGTGTTAATTTAAGAATCATTGTGTTTTCCGCTGTTTAAAATGTCATACATGATAATGTAGCCTAATCGATATTTAATTATCAATAACTAAATAGAGATAGAAATGTAATTCTCTTACTTTTGATTTTCATTTTACTTTGACTTGCTTTATTAAAAGTTTGGATACATATCCTATGTACATATAATTTTGTAAAAAAAAATATTCTAAATACATTTCAGCTATATAAAAATCCGCTATCTATTTATAAATAATAAATTACTGCAAAATAAATCAGATATGATTTTCTAAAATTTATAAACTGACTTTTTTTATACACATAGTCATAAAATCGGCATATTATATAATAGAATTGATATTAATTATGAAAAAATTCTTAAAAGTTACAAAACTATAAGACGAATAAATTTGAATATGCTATTTCAATAAAAATAATCACAAATTAAATAACATATAACATAATTGATTGGAATGCAAACGATTGAATTTATGAGAATGATTCTGGATCGCATGGAAGTTCTCTACCGAGAATATTAATAATAAGTTGAAAATTTATGTAATAAAAATGTTTATCATCATTTACGTTATGATAACTTTTAAAACATGCTGATTAAATTAAAATAAATGCAGATACTGTTTAAAGAATATTGTGTTATTGACATCATAGTGCACTCTGTATAAGAAATTATTTCATACAAGTTTTTAAATTAAGAAAGTGTTTTTGTATTTTGTGAGATAAATCGTAGTATAAAATTATTGCTTTGATGTTTTATCAGGTTACTCAAATTACAGTTTAAAGTAATTTCATTAAAGTGATCATTATTACAGATACACATCCTCTTACAAATCTTATTATCTTAGGATATTTGTTTCCTTAATAAAGTTTAAAAATTCAAATTTTTTAAATGAAATAATATTATTATATAATAATATAATTTAATAAATAATAATAATTTTTCTTTTTTCATTTATTAAATAAATTTATATACAATTCAAATTATTGTATTTGATTTTATTTTAATTAATTTGGTTTTTATTTAATATGAGAAATGTTACATAAATAATAGGTAATAATAACCTATATAATATAATAACCTATATAAAGGTAAAAATTACATTAAAAAAAAAAATTAAAAAATTTTGATATTAATGTTATATCATCGATGTTTTTTCTTCGAACATTTCCATTGTCGACATAATATAACTTTTTTTAATAAAAATGATCGAATCACATTAAAAGTACTGTTAGTGTTCTAAGATTTTTGAGTGGATATGTACAATATAAAATATATGTTTATATATTAAAAATTAATTAATGCAATCTGAATAACCCGCTCCACATAGTTTACAAAAATGTTGTGTACAGAAAAGCTCGAGTCGTTCTAATCGTGCAAATATAGAAAAGAAACAGTATTAACTTTAACTTCGTACAACACAGTGAAAGTGCGTATTACAGACAGAAAAGTCGAAAAATTCATTTCACGAACTACTATATATTTGTGTACATATTGTGTATAAATTGAATTACATTGTATATAATTCGTTCGTATACAAAATATTCGTATTAATCACATTTAATTGAACTTTGAGTGCACAAAAAATGTTTTTTTTTTTATAAGATGTGAAATACGATCAAATTTTACAATAAAACACAACGACACTTTTTTTTCTTTCAATGACATAGGTGTATCTAATTCTCAGTAGTGAAATTCACACACGGTTGTTAATTCTGAATGAGATATTTGAGCCATACGTAGAAGTCAAATTGATTAACTCTCAAATTTCAATCGAATATTATCTTTCTTTTTATGTTAAATTGTCATTATAATTGTCATTATAATTTTTTTATCAATAATAAATATATTTATTATTGATTTACATTCCAAATTTTATTAATAAAAAATATTTAAAAATTTTAATAATACACATATATATATATATATAAGTGTTTATGTGCGTATATGTGAATATTTGAATAATAGAAATTTTTGAATATTGTCAATATTAAAAAGCATTGAATAAAATTATTAACTAATCATTTTGGCACAGTTTAAAATATTTTAGATACATCTATATAATGCAAAATGTAAAAAATTTTAAATCTTTATGTTAATATTAAAGTCAAAAATAATATGATCAATTCGTCTTCAGAATGACTCATTTATCGTAGTGATCGAAAGTGTGAACAATGAATAGTGAATGCAAGGACGAAGCACGTCCGTATGTATGGTGAAGAGAAAATAATGAATGTTTAAAGTAAAACGAATACCTCTGATTGTACGGTTGATTTGGACTGGATAAACTGTCATTTGTCGCTCGATTCACATTCGGTTTCACCTTATTCACTTGTTTCGTTGAATTCATCATGGTCATCCCGACGGAATTCCGGTGATTTCTCATCGCTATAATGTAAACACGATAATATGAGTTTATACATATTTTTTTAATTTCTCATTAATATTATATTTCGAGATTATCGATAAGAATATATTTAAATTATTGAGAAAATTTAAATAACTAACTTAAATAATAATAATTAATTTAAAGATTGTGTTTAATTTAATTATTTGAAAATATATGTAAAATTTAAATAACTTAAATAATAATAATTAATTTAAAGATTGTGTTTAATTTAATTATTTAAAAATTTATATAATCCTTCATTTTTTATCATGTTTTAAATGTTGTAAAGAAAAATTACATTCTATTTGCTAATTCAGCAAAAATTAATATTAAGTAAAATTAATTATTCGTTCGATTTATTTTTATCTCACTTAAGAATGAGATATGTTTTGAAAAAATATGTTTTGAAAATAATGCGTAACATTTTAACTCCTTTTATATAAATGATAAAATTGCAAAAAATTTAGAAAATTGTGCTTTATTAAACAATTTATTAAAAAAAAAATGTTTCAATGAATATTTGATCAATTTGAAACTTACCGTTTGGATCTTCACGGTCACGACTGATCTCACCTAAAATCGATAAATTAGAATTAACTTTTATGTAATCGTTATTTTCTTTTTTAACGTAGCTAATAGACAAAGCAACAATGATTAAGAAAATTACTCAGTGCCACGCTGATCGTGACCTAAATCCCTTCGTTATAATGTATTTTACTTTTAATCAACAAAGAGAGCCTACAGCCTCATGCTTACAGGCACGCATACTTTATCCTAAATATTTTGCACGTGCCATTTTTTATTTGAAAAATTTTAAATAATTAGAATTGCAATGAACTGATGAACTATACTTATGGTTTTCAAGAATACGTCGAATACACGAATTTTTATAAATATTGATAAATAATTTTATATTTTAATATTTTTCGAAAATCTAATTAAAAAATCTAATAATCTTTAGATTATTTTTTAACAATATAATTTTTTTAAATTTGCACAATTGTCGTAATTTTTACCATTGTTATTATTGATAAAATATCAAACATTAACGCAAAAATAATTTTTCTTACGAATAAAAAAATGAAATAAATACTTATTTCGAAATCATAAAAATGATTAAAAATAACTTCTTATAATTTATCATTATAAATTTTACGAATTTCTTTAAAGTTTCTGAAAAATATATTTTCTATTACATAAAAAATATTTAATATCACATTGTCAAATACTTATTTCTATATAAAATTAGATGATTCAAAGCAATAATAAAAATATAAAAATTGATAAAATAATTAGATCATTTATTTTATAACACGCATTAAATGTGAAAGCGAGAAGTGATGCATTAAACTATATTGGTCAATTTTTCAATAATAATATACAGGATGTTCTATTTTAATTTTCTAGAATAAATATTTCGAATAATAAAAATATGGAAGACACGAAAAACTATCAAAAAGAAGATCATGTTATTTATTTGACTTGTGATATTCTTCAACAAACATATAAATGTCAATATTAAATTTAAGATAAAAATAAAAAACTAAATATTTTTTTTACTACATACTATCATAGTTGGTATTATTGCAGCTACATCGAAATATTTTCAAAACGCTACTTAAATAGGTCTTTAGTACAAGCTATTCCTGAGATATAAGCTTTCAAACTCAACGTGTTGACTTTAGGAGATTGAAGTAGAGATTAAAATGGAACATCCTGTATACAGTGTCTCCGTCAAAAAGTATGCGAGAAAAATCTTTATAAAAAAAAATTTGACGTATCAATGAAAACCAAAGCAACGTTCATTGTACGCAAGCAATTCTTAGCTATTACGGCACGTGCTGTTTGCAGAAGACAAAAAAAAAATAAAATAATAATAATAATTAGGCATCTGTCGCGATAACTGAGTGAAGCACCATCATATATATAATAAATAAATATAGTAAATAAATGGATCAAATGAAATGCAAAACGTGAAAAATATGCTTTGTCTAAATGTCACCATAAAAAATAAATAATAATAATAATGATAATAATAATAATAACGAATAATGTATCTGTCAATCTACCGTGCTTTCTACAGCTATTTATTCATTTGTTTACACTCGATATTAAAATTACACAAATAAAACGCATATATATATAATATATATATATATTATATATATATATACTCAGGACATATGCGAATTATACACATATCAAAAGAAGAAATATCGAAAAAATTATTTCTAAGCATCCTAAACCAAGTATAATATTTATCTACATAGAACACAGAAATATTCATTGAAAAAGTTTGAATATCACTCAAAATATTTGAATTCAAACAGCATTTCTCAAACTATCCGCGAAATTTATTCTCATTTTTCAAATTTACTCTATACGAATTAAAATAATTTATTGAATATTTTGCGAATTTGTAAAAAATTTTTGTCATTTACAAAATTCAATTACAAAAATCATCATACATATCTTATACATTCAATTAAAAAATTGTTATATCAAATCTAACAAAAATTCTGTTTTAAATGAAACTTTTTAAATATATGCACAATGAATTATTGATTGTACAATTATATTATTGACTGTACTGTACAATTAGATAAAAAACAATGGAAAAAAATTTAAAATATTTTTTATTTAAAACTTTATTTTTGAGGAAATTGAAAATTCAAATAATAAGGAAATATAATTCTTCTAATTAATTCTTGGTAAAAATTGATAAAAGATTATTTTACATATGAAAAATGTAAATTAAAATTTTTCAATTGGAAGATTACTTTTTGAGAAAATAAAATTTTGAATTTATTTTTTGAAAACAAAAATTTAAAAAACAAATTAAAAATCTTTTATATTATTTATTTTTTGCATATAAAATATTCAATTAATAATCTGCTGATGATATTCAATCATATATTTTACAGTTTTTCAAAATTGATTTTATCGAAAAAAAAAATATCAAACAAAAAAATATCTTTTTTTCTTTTTAAATTACGTATAAAATCATCTTCTATTTGATTGTATTACATACTATACCAAATTATATACGATGTAATATTTTTTTCACATCATGATGAATCAATTTTAAAAATATTAATGCTTTTTCCGTTTTTCTTAAAATGTAATTTTATAATAATGCAGGATAAAATAAAAGTTTTAATACAAAATATATTCTGAATTTATTAAAATTTTATAAAAAAAATATTCAGATAAAAAAGAAATTCTATTCAAAATTTAAAAAATATATTAAGAAAGTTTTATCTTCTCAAGGAAATTTTTTGAGAGAAAAGGAAAAAATGTTTGATCCATTATGCTTTATACATATACGTACAATTTTCAATTATAAATTTTCATTATAATCAGAATTTTCTTTCTTTTAAAAAATAATGTACGAAGATTTTTGTTTATAATTTCTTATTCGATTATAGAAAATAACCAGAATGAGAAAAGCTGATGTCTTTATGAATTCCTGTTCTACTTACGCAGACGAACACCAGCAAATATATTGCATATATTTCAATTACATGGAAAGGTATGTTTGTCGCGGATAAGGTTATCAAGTGTTCGAATTGATTTTCTCTTTCCTTCACTTACATTTATTACACGTTTCATTTTTCATTTCAAATTGAATTCTTAAAAATAATCGTTATTCAAAATTAATTAAGTACTTTGCACTCAAGTTACATAAACTGAATTTGTTCAACATGACAATTGTCTTTTCTAATTATAAAAATTATCCATAAATTAATCATTGTGTTTTGTCTATGAACAAATATGTTGCTTTCAAAACTATAACAAAACAAATGATCACGAAACAAAAACGTGATAATTGATGCTATATAGTCTAATAATTATAAAATTCTATGATAATCGTATGTATTCTAATGAATTGCAATGATTTTATTTTATAGAAAATACAAAACAAAGGAGAAAAAAAAAAAAGAAAAGGAAAAAGAAGAAAAAAGTAAAAGAAACGGAAGAAATGACGTGTCGTTTATAAGATAGTGATATGATAGCCATAGTGAGAACTAAAGTTAAACTACAAAAAATTTTAATTCACTACTCTGTGTAAAAATAATATAATTGTTAACATAAGATGCAAACTATAATGTATCTACTGTACAGCTGCATGCACTCATCGCGACCGGAGAAAGTAGTAAATAACAACATTGTAATGTAATCGAAATTTTAATTGCAAAAAAATAATTATCTTAAACAATTTATACAAGTATCTTTCTACTTTCTCCAAAATCGTAGTGAAAATAACGCGTTCCGTACATATTCCATATTACGTATGTATAAAAATGTATGTATTCAGAAACAATGCTGGAATTTTTATTTTGAGTAACAATTTAGTTTAAATTACGTATTATCACAGTTTATAGAAATTTTTATTTGTTAAATTTGAATTAATTATTTTAATATGATTTTTGTTTATATTTTTATTTTATATTTTTTCTTTTCTTTTATTTATATGAAAAAAAATTAAGTTTACTAGTTTTATGAAGAAAAATAAATAATAATTATAAGAAGATTATATAAATTTCATCGAGAAATAGAAATAATTTATTATCATTGATCTTTGGAACATTATCAAATGAAATTATTTAATGTTAGATGATATTATTATATCCTATTGAACTCATAATGTCACATATATATAATATTGAAAAATAAATTTCAATAAATTTTTAAAAAGCATAAAAATATTTAGAAATTATTTCTTATATTTTTAATATTTATTCATATGTTCTAATATCTCTTAACATTAAAAAAAAATTGCATACAGATTACGATATTCTCGAAATTATCATTTAATATCATTTTCACAGCGATTTCATAATACACTTTCAAACAATCGAATTAAAAAACAACTTAAATCCAGCACTGTTATCAAACGTCGGTCGAAAAGTCGTGTTGAATTCCTAGAATATGTCCTAGAAATGTCGCAATTGGTCATTGAAGCTGTCATGATGCATAAAAAAGAAAAAACAAAAAAAAGAAGAAGAACAAAAAAAAAAAGAAAAAAAGAAAAAAAGAAAATCGAAAAACATCAGAAATTGAGTGCAGACAGTTGTTAAAGGTTAAATCGAGAGCGAAGCACTTTTTTGTGAAGCAGCACTTCGAGTTCCTTCGTCCAAGAGATTGAAAGCGATTGATTATAGTGTATACCCGTATATACCGTGTGTTTCATAAAAATTAGGAAGGGCAGCTTGCAAAATTATAGCACGGTTTTGATTGAGGTGTAACTGTACCTCTTACGTGAACCATCTTGGGCAGTTCTGGCGGAGTGAATGTGGGGGGAGGATGGTGGTCGTCTGTAACAAACCACTACACATGTTAGCTACCCTAACTAATTACCTAAGGCCTAGTTTCTACGCTATTACTACCACTGCCATTCCTATATTTGCATTTTAATCAATTAAAGCTTCATTCCAGTCTTAAATCGATGAAAAATATTTTATTATCGAAAGATTTTTTGTAAATCGTCACTGTGCTGCCATCTACTTCAATTGAAGAATACTATTATATAATACAAATAGCACTAATTTTCGAAATATGGCAGAATCAGAAATCAGAATCAGAAAAATCGCGAAGATTGATACATCAAAAATTATTTAATTTTATTATTGTCGTTAATTGCGAGAATTATATTATATTATATCATATTATATTATATTAACATTTTAATATAATATAATTTAATAATTAATCACAGATATTAAATTGTTTAGGTTTATAAAGACTAAATTTGATATTTGAAAAAATTAGGCAATAATAATATTTTGGCACCAAAATTTAAAATTAAAATTTAAAAATAAAATTAACTTTCATGCGATATGATTATTTTACATCTATAAAAAATTAATCATAAAATTGATTTAAAAAGATTTTATTATATCAATGTTTAATATTTTTAATATTCATTATTTATCAATATTTATTGTTCAAGTAAAAATTAAATAGCACAATTTTTTTTTAAACAGATATTTTGTTTGCAATTAATTGTTTGAAATAATGAATAATTATGAGAACAAAAGATCGTCGTGATAAAAAGATAATAACAATGAAATTCTTTTTATCGACTGAAATGAATCTTGTTCTAATCTAAATAATATATTATCAATATTCTAGAAATCAAATTATTACTCTGAAAGAACTACCGTTTTCAATACTGCTCGTGGCAACGCGGACGAGTCCAGAAGTAATCGAGGCACGATATTGTACAAAATATCAAAAGGAGAAAAAGTTAAAAAAAAAAAAAAAAAAAAAAAGAAAAAAAAAAAAAAAAAAAAGAAGAAGAAACAAAAAAACAATCTGTACATCGTGATTCTCCTCCGCGTTGTACAAATATAGTCTAAAGTATTAGTGAATTATATACATGTTCTCATAACCAGATTTTAAGCACTGTGCACAGGCAATGCACTCAATTTCATGCAAAAATTATAACAGAGGCAAAGAACAAACTCGAAAGAAATTAATATTTAAGATAAAGAAAATAATTTTTCCTTTATAATGCATGATTAAATAAATATCTTTGCCTCTGACAAATCTATCTTCTATTCTATCGTATCTAAGCGTGCAGATTAATAATAATTCTTACGGTGTGAATATTTACTCGGTATTGCAAGTGCGGTCTTTGACAAATATTATTTATAAAACTCGTGCGACAAATTGGGAAAACTCGAGACAAAAAGGTATATTATTCGACAGTATTATATAGGATTTCTACCGTGTCAAAGCAGAATTATAAAAAAGAGAGGGAGGAGTCACGTTATAGTAATAGAAACTAATGTGAAACTCGTCGTTTGCAAAACTATTCGCGAATTCATATAGTATATGCAGCTCTTTATCTTGTGAGCACTTTTCTTTTGCCATTGGCGTCGTTAAGCTCCTAATATAAAGCTTAATCGACCGAGGGAGGGAAAAGTGTAGCGCGTGTAAAAGGCCACTTCAAATGCTCGTAACGCTTATATCGTGTGTATCTCATCGCGTAATTTATTTTGTGCTATTCGATTGATTTTTTTTTTATTTCGATATTTATCGTTATAAGGAAGATAAGTAATTTATATTTATTGTATGACACATAAAAGAAAATCCATTATTCTTTAATTCTAATGTATTGTATCTTTCGTTACAATCTTTAATTATTTTTTTCCTTTTAAATATTCCTTTACATTTATATATAATATATAATATATTCTCTGTATGTATACATATATATTATATAATATATCATTTTTCTTTTTAATATATTTATTTAAAATATATAAATATATAATAAAATATATAATATATATATTTTTAATATATTTTTTAAATATATTTCTTTTAAATATATTTATTTAGCAAAATTATTAAAATTATTATTTCATTGTGATGAATATTACGATTATTAAAATCTAAAATATTATTTTAGATTATAAATTATAAAATTATAATATATAAGTCGTTCGTTATAAAAATGACATATGTTTAATTTTAAAAGAAATTGAGAAAATGAATAATGTATAATATAATTATATAATATAATGTAATTATAATGTATATAATTATAATATAATTAATTGGATTTTTTATTATATTATTGGAATCTAAAGGATTAAATATTTATTCAAAATTCTTGGAACTTCTTAATTAACAAATTTTTGAAGATCATCTCAGATAGACGAAAAGAAAATAACGATTCAGATAAGAAACAGAGAATAATTTTCGAAATATTTTTTAATTCCTTTTCCAAAGAGATAAGGATTTTCCTTTATAAGGAATATTTTTCAATTAAAAGAGAAAGAAAAAAAGCGAAGAATCCAAATCTATAAAAACAGTATTACACCGTGTAAAAATAGAAAGTATATAACGATAAACATACGAATAAAGCATGTGTCAGTAAAATACAGTGACCATGTACAGCCTACGTCTTATGATCTATGCCTTATCAATACGGATTCCCGTGTTATAATAATAATATTATGCATACATATGTACAAAAATATTGATTATACACCCGCTTTATGTTAGACTTACTTGCATACGAGAAGTCTTCACCTAAGTAGAAGTAGAGGACGAAGAGAAGAAAGTTCAAACAGATAGACACATAGAAAGTTAGTTATATAGATATATCTTTTCTTCATATTAACGGTGTACATAATGTGTTATGCGTATGTGTGCTGTGTGCACGCCTCGCGGGCACACATATGTGATACACGTGTGATAACGATAGGTAAGGATATGCGTGCGTGCGTGCTTGCGCGCGCATGTATATATCGTGACGTTGTACAAAGAGATACACATATATGTACGCATGGATCATAGATGAAATTAGAGGTAATATAATGATCGTGTTAGGCTCCGATGCGAGTGAAACTGTTGATTGATTTTTCTTACCCTCTTTCTATTTTTCTACCTCCCGTTTTTTACAAGCGTGTATTATCGCGTGTACATTTTAATTTTTTTTTTTTTTT